GAGATACAAATATTTCTGCGCACATGGATCCTTACAGAAAAAACAAATTCCTCTGAGCATCGTAGTACTCACAGAATGAACAACAAATCCACACATCAAATCATCAATTCATACATATACTTGTCAAATCATATCATATCTTGTAGTCACATATTCATATCCTATATGAATGCAACTATACTAAGCTCTAACATTTATCACAGTTTATACATATCAAAACCATAATCCCAATAAACCATGATAGAACAAACAAAGAGGAGAAAGCTTCTAAATCGAAAGCTTACCTCTTGAAGTTCTCAAACCAAGCTTACTTGCACTTCAAGAAATTAATCCAAAGCTTCCTAAATCTGATCTTCAAGCACTAGGTCTCTTATCTCTAACCTAGTTTACCAACCAATAATAATCAATACCAATTAAGGCTAATTCCAAGTGTTAAGCACCAAAGTCTAACACTTGACATATCCATCAAACTTGCAAAAGTCATGATTAGGTTGGTTCAAACACATTGCTTTCATAACAAATACTTTCTTATCATATTTGACAAAACAATTCATGCCCAAACAAGTCATAACAAATACTTTTATATATTCAAGAAAGCTAACATATAATCATCTGAATATGGTTAGTAGTCCAAGCAAGGTTTTCACACCTTGATATCACTTAACTTAGCACTAGGAATAACTCTCATCATCAAATGGAACTTAACAAACTCTCTAGACTATTCTTCCTTGTAATGGCCGAAACATGGCTTAAAAGTTTCATCAATCTCAGAAGCTTTCCAATAACTAATTCATGGTCCACTTTACAACCCATTATACCATGATTAACATACATCATCAAATCATAACTAATCAAACTTCCTACATGATTTTACCTCACATAGTCAAAACATAACACATAGGGTTCCTTGCCTTCTTAAACTTTTTATTAACTAATTCATGCTTTATTTAACACTACACAATCTAATGATTATTAATCACCATTAACATAAAATTAAATCAACTCACACCATGGTTTTCTCTTGCATGGCCGATTTGACATACAAAGGATTCATGATTTTTTACAAGCTTCCAATAGTTATTAACCATACAATTCATTATTCTATAAAAAAACTAATCATGATTCAACATCAACATATCATCAAACACCTCCTTGAGACTAATTACACTATGATGGCCGAATGTAACCTAAAGGAATCCATCATGATTTCTAGTCTTATTGGCTATTTAACACTCTATCAAAGCTAATACTCAACAACCATCACAAAACATGATTCACTAACTTCTAGCATATGTGTCACTATGATGGCCGAAACTTTAAAGAGTGCATTTATCAACTTTCAAGGTTCTCCAATACAAATCCTTAATAGTTTCCAAAACTTCCATATTCCTTGAACATTATACACCAACATACAAGATTAAAACAACATTGAATCATTTTTAACATGGCTTTTCTCTTAAATGACTGAATATGACCTAAAGAGAAATTCACGAGTTTCATCAACTTAAAATAACTTATACTTGCTTCATTTAGTTCAAACATCATCAAGGAACAATATTCATAACAAACTCAACACAAACACAATCTCAAGCATATTTTATACACGATAACCGATTTGCACTAGAAGGATTACCATGAATTTTACACCATTCCATTTATTCCTACATGCTTCATTCAACTCCAAATCAATATATAACAATTTCCAACATCAAAATACATCATATCATCATGATCAAACCTCATGAAAAATTAAAGAAAATTAAAGAAAATCAAAGAAACTTAAATGGACATCTTAAAAACTAACCAACCAAATTCAAGTTTCTTACCTCCTATGAACTTCAAACAACCTAGAGATCACTTTCCATCATTCAAACCAAGAAAACAGTCCCTCCTAGCATTATGTCCAGCATGCAAGTCGAAGCTTTTAAGGAGGAAGAACTCACAAAATACAGCCCCTCAAAATGATCTAGGACTTAGGTTATGCTCATAAGATCAAAGGCTTTAACTTTTGAAAAGGAAGCTATATGTAAAAGTGAGTGTTTAACAAAGTGAAAAACTTGAACCATCAACCATGGAGGTCTCGACCAAGAGAAGCTCGTGGAGGAACAAAGAAAGGGAATGAACCAACTTAAGCTTTTCCAAATGTCTTATAAGTTTAAAACTTTGACTTTTAACTTCCTTGACCTATCAACTCTCTTATTGGTTAGAAATTACTAACACTTTGACTTATTATATCATAAATTCTAATCATAATAAACTTAAACTAATCACACTTTGAACCCATGAAATTCTCTAAACAATCTCATTAAAATATCAAAATCAAGTTTAGGCCAAGTTTTGCCTATTTGTAATTTGATCCATAAACTTTACCATATTTATACTTTGACCCACAAACTTTTCTAATAATGATATTTGGATCCTAAATGACTTCTTTGATATGAATTGTATCCTTATTAATTTTACCATTTTAATTACATGATTAACTTGCCACAAATTCCATCAAAAGCTTACTTAATTCACTATTTACCAAAACTTACTCATATGGGTTATTATGCTTTAGTAATAAGTTGAAAGTCTCATTTAGAGTTCGTGGTTCATCCGTATATCATACACTTAAAAGTAAAGTAATGATGTCCCTATCCATTAGGACAAGCATATTTTCAATGATCCATCTTTGGGTGCTTTCCTCTATTGTTTGCAATGGGTGTTGCATTACCTCAAAGATTTACATAGCTTCTCTTTCTTTCCTTTATCTGTTCCGACTTTTCCAAAAATATCAGTTATAAAACTAATCTTATTTAAGATAAGATTATCCTTCTCAATAGGAACAAAACCTTTGATATTATAAATTTTTTCAGACGTTGAAGTTATCTATCACCTGAAACTACTCCACTTAATAAAGGGTTTAAAATATCCTTTAATGGAACTAGTACTATATAAACATACACACATATATATATAGGAGAGGGATCTTTTGACTCCGGTGTAAGATTTAGAAGTCTTACTCCACATCTCAATCGTTGATTTCTATTCATATAACAATTATCATTTATTTGAAATTAATAATTAATTGATATAATTCAATAAGTTGTAACCGTTAGATGGACATAAATCAATGGTTAAGATGAGAAGTAAGACTTCTAAGTCTTACACTAGAGTCAAAAGATCTCTCCCTATGTATATAGACAGGGACAAGATCATTTGACACTGGTGTCAAACTAAAAAGTTGACACCTCATCTGAATCATTAATTTTCGCCAATCTGACGACGATAATTTTTTAAGAATTATTAATTTATTGATGTAACTCAATAAATTGCAGCCATCACATCGACGAAAATCAACGGCTCAAATTGGGCATCAAATAAAAAATTTGACACCAGTGTCAAACTAAAAATCTTGACACCCTATTTGAACGGCTGATTTCTGCCCATATGCATCGTGTGTGTGTGTGTGTTAGGATCCTTTTACATCAGTGTCAAATTTAAAATTTGACACCTCATTTGAGAGTCATTAGATCAAAAAAGATTAATGACTCTGATTTGTAAGCATGTGACACCATTGATCTTTTTTATCTAACAGCTCTCAGATGAGGTGTCAAACTTCAAATTTGACACTCGTATCAAAAGATTCTACCTATATATATATGTGTGTCTGTGTGTGTGTGAGGTTCTATTTACCACTTGTTTTTGCTTACAACCTCTCTCAATAATTTTTGTTTAAGAAAATTGAGGGGAGATATTCTTACTACCAACTCACTACCTCCACAATTACCATTGGATCAAAGAGGGAGAATATTAAAAAAAAATTGAAGAAAGAGAAAATGTTGATCCAATGGTGATTATAGAGGTAGTGGGTTGGTAGTGAAATTTTCTAGTAGTAAGAATATCCTTACTCAAGAAAATTATACTCTCATGTTTCATGAAATTTATCTTTCATGTTACACTCACGTAAAAAAATGTACATCCCTCTTTTCTTTTTTAAATTGATAAGCCCTACTTTATTTGTCTTACAATATAAAATAAGGATTTGATGTTTGTCATTTTAAACGACATAAGTTATGTCATTTTATGAGAGAAACAGACACAAGAAATGAAAATCATGGGAGAGAGAAAGTGGATGGTTTTTTTTAATTTAAATTTTAAATAAAAAAATTTATTTGTGTCTATCTCTCTCCTGAAATAACATAACTTTATGTCATTTAAAATGACAAACACTTTTCTCACAAAATAATTTCTCTACGAAGTAAAACCCTTTTTAAGCTTAAAAAAAAAACCCTTTTTTAATATTTGAATCAAAATGAAATCAATGTTTACAATATAACTTTAAGTAATAGCCATTTTTTTGATTTTAAGCAAAATATAAGTTATAAATATGACCTCGTTGGTGTAAGTCAACTTCAATTCATTTTTTTATAAATAATTTCAAAATGAGAATAACATCTGTTATTTTAAAGAATATAAGCTTATATTATTTTATATCCTAACTGTTGATTTCTGGCTATCAACGGTTATAATTTATTAGATCGAAATTATTAATTAATTAATAATAAATTTGGCCCATTAAATTTGACCCAATAGATTATACTCATTGATAGACGAAAATCAACGATTAGGATCTAAAATGATATAAAGTTATATTCTTTAAAAAGATAGATATTTTTTCCTTTCAAAATATAAAATTTAATTTTAAAGGGTTCGTTTTTTCTACAACGTAGATAATTTATTTATATTGAATCCAAAACGACGTCATTCTAAGACAAAAATTAAATTATTTTTGTAATTATAATTTATTTCAGAATTATAATAATCTATTTCATTATAATTTTTTTTTATTTTTTAAAGTTATTTTAAAAACGAACATAAATAACTTATCGGCATTTAAATTTAGAGTAAAATTGATGCATTTTAAATCATAATAAACCAAATCAAACGATTGTTAATTCCGAATAATACAAAAAAAACATATGAGTGGTGAGGAATAGGGCTACTTCGAACCCTAAACACCCTCTGGAGTTTTGTCACACAGGCTGTACTCTGGTAAGTACCAATCGAAGGGTTCTCCAGCCCATGATTTTCCCTGTCTCCGGTCGCCAGCGATCGCAGACATTCTATTAACGACTCTTGGTTCGTTTTAACCCTTACACGTGCTGAATCTTGTTCACTATGTTAACCGATTTCTGTTCATAAAGACACATGATATGTTCGTGTTGAATTTGGAGTTTGATAGTTATGTCTATTTCCTTGCTTTTAAGCTCTTGTAATTTTGGGTTCGCACGTGCTTCATTCAACTTTTATTTATTTATTCATAGGATTAGTATTTTTAAATGATCGGTATCATTTTTTAAGTGAGAAAAAAAGATATTCAATCTAAATTAAAGGGGGAGAAAGTAAGAGATTTTTTTTCTAATTTAATTTTTTAATAAAAATATTAGTTTTAACTAAAACTAGCCTTCTTTTAAAGGATGAACATTTTTTTCTTTATTTATTTATTTTCTGTGTCTGCTGGGTAGTTGCTTGTTTCTCTCTGTTTTGTCGGAAATGTTCTATGTTTCTATGGGTTGATTTTTTGTTACAATGTGTTGCGAAAAATGAATGCGGATTCCGTGTTGACTTGGTTGATTTTGTGTAGGGTTTGCATGACTTATATGGTATTGGTGATTTTATGTTTGATAATTTTGGTTTCATTCCATTTAATTTTTGTGGAATCTGTGGAAGTTTTAAGTCTGTGAGTTTGATTCCTCTTGGACAATTGGTGAGTCTTGCTGCATGATTTGTACAAAAATTGTACTTCTCTTCGAAAGCTACACTAAGACTTGTCTCAACTTAAAAATCTGGTGGTTATTACGAGGGATTTAGGTGAGGACTCAAGGATCTTATTTTCAGGATTTTCTTTTGATTGTCTGAATTTCGCGCTACGTACAAGAATTTCCTCACCCCTATCCTGGGAAGTCCTTGTCATTCAAAGTGGGTTCAGCTTGGTAAACTGGTCGTCTTAGTAGGGTTGGTTTGAAATTCTATTTGATACTTGGTGCAGTTTGCAAAACATCTGTTCTAATGAATTAAAATAAAATGTCTGTTTTTTGCATTTTATAGAAATTGTGTTGTTGTACAATTTACACCCTATAAAATGGCTATTCAATTCAACTAATTGTCTGTTAAAAGTAACATTCATCGTTAGTAGCTTGTTTGTGGAATAAAAAGAAAATCAATTGGGTGTCTGGGTGCAGAACTTGCTCTTTATTTATTTTTTTCTTTTTTATGTCATGTTCTTTGCTATAGAAATTTTATGGCTATTGATTACTGTAGTTATTAATTACCCTATGTTTGAAATTTTTTGTTTTAGGTTTCATTCACTTTTATTACATGGAGTCATCAGAAGATGAGTATGCTGCATTTGAACAGAAAGTTAGTAGGACAGTGTACTTGGACAACCTATCACCACAGGTCACTGAATCTGTGATTAGAACTGCTCTTGAGCAGTTTTCAACTGTGAAAAGTGTTAAGTTCATTCCTAACTTAATTGGACCAAATAATCTGCCACAGTGTGCATTAGTAGAATTGGATTCTGCCAAGAAGGCCAAGGAAGTTATATCAATGATAGGTCAGTATCCTTTCATGATGTCTGGGATGCCACGGCCTGTAAGGGCTCGTCCTGCTGTAATGGAGATGTTTGATGATCGGCCAGCAAAGCCTAACAAAAAGCTAAAGTGCTGTTGGTTAGATCCTAGTGACACTGATTTTGAGGTGGCAAAGGAAATAAAGAATCTTACTCGCAAACATGCTGCAGAAATAGCATTCATGCACAAAGTAAGTTCTTTCCTATTATCAATTAATTTTTTATAGCACTTATCGCTATTACTATTCAGATAATTTCTGCATTTGGCAGAGTAAGCCTCTAGGACTAGGTATTAGGAATATCTATTTCCAAATGAATATTTATTTGCTTATTTTATTTTTACCGTTGTTATTAATGTAATTTTTTGTTGTATTTCTAAATGCTTGGTTGTGTTAATGATATACTTGAATTGTTGAATTTGTTTGAACCTCTTCTTTAACTGAAGAGCAGTTAGCGGTGACATTAAGCAATAAGCAGTTTTACTGTGAGTGTGAAAGTTACTTGTATGTTTTTGGGAGCTGCTAGTGTAAAAAGTGCAGTAAGCCAGTAACAAGTGATTCTTAATTTCTTATGAGCTGTTAGCATATAAACTCATACAATTATACTGATGGTTATAATGGAAGTTAGGGTGATTTTGATATAACAGAAAATATCAGGTACAAAAGTAGAAACAGAGAAAACGTAGGGATGGAAAGAATAGTCTATCCATATTAATTATAACAGAAACTATGGATACCGTAATCTTCGAGAAGTTGGAATATGAAAAAAAACTGTTTGAAGCATTTGTTGATTCGTTACTAAGAATACAGAATTTTCCTTCCATGTTATGTTAGCTGCTATCTCACTTTAGTTTTTTTGACCTTTCATTTTGTGATTGGGACAATGTCTTAGTTTTATTTTCAAGGAGAAAAGATATCACTTATGTCACACCCCAAAAGGAGGTACACTAACTGATTCGAAGTAAAACATACAATTTCATTGAATACACATAATATCATCATATCACTAGAAGTCATAAGGCTGTTCATTACATTAACATGCCATTTACAAAATCCTCAAAAGAAATCTACATAAATTCCATATGCTGCCAACAAGGCTTACAGACAAAGAGTTCAAAATACACTGCCAAAAGATGAGCATACTACAGCTAATCGAGACATCATTCAGAGGAGATTTTATCATTTATGGAAGTTTGTTCCCTTCATTCCTTTGACCTGAAACAAGTACCATAAAATGGGTGAGATATGAATCTCAATAAATCATAAAATCATCTTGAAGACAAAACTCAGGTATGCTATCAATTATGAATGGAGAAACATAAATTATACAAGCACTGCTAGTCGTCTAAAGCTACTGTATAGGCTCTTAGGCCCCGGATAAGCTACTGTCTGTACCTGCATATAGCGGTTGTGTGCTTGTCCCTTATGGCCCTGTAGGTGTATTGAACTCCAACATAGTGAGACGTCCCTCACAACTGTAACTGTATGGCACCCGATAACTGTTAGGCATTATGCCCTCAACTGTACTATATATACTGGAATTCTCAAAAGAATGACAAAATATTATTAACGATAATTAAATAAAACAGACACATTTATCATGTGGGCAGACAACATTACATAAAACACCCTTGCTGGGCTGCTTGGTGGAGTGAGCTGCACTAGCGAGGAAGGCTCGAGAGAACAGCTAACAAGGGTCTGCTCGCTGAGCTTCGTGTTGGAGTAAGAAAGTTCAGTGAGCAATTCCAGAGAGTGTGTTCTCATGTGTCTGCTCGCTACAACGAGCAGCACCACACATGCAGTCCCAACTGCAGTCATTAACCAGGCTTTTCCAACCCAATTTCTCCACAGAAAACATCCCAACACATCCTCATAAGTCTCTAATGTCCATCAACAAATGCATGCAACCACATTAAGACCATTTCATTAGATTTTTGCATGCATCAAAATTTGGTTTCCAATTATTTGTTATCCTCTTCAAGATGTTCCCTTATCTCAGATATATGTATATTTTTTTTACAAGCAGCCACAGAACATGCATGCATACATTCAGACACAAGATTCGAGTTTTAGACACAGCAAGGGAGTTGACTTCATGACTTACTTTTCTAGAGCCACTTCTTCAAGGACCTTGACTCCCTAACCTTCACCAACAGTCCTTATTGTTTCCCAAGTGTAGTGAAGCAGCTTTTTGAACTCTTGTTCTACAATCGTTCTAGGTTGTCAGTAACGGCCCGTAGTGCCGCTAAACCGCTACTGTAGCGGGTAGCAACGGTTGGCAGCTACAAACCGCGACGCTACGCGACATTGGCCGTAGCGGAAGGTAGCGGCATAGCGTAGCGGCAATACCGCAATACCGCTATACCGCTACACCACTCCCATGTTGGAATTTGATGGAGAATTCGGAGATGATGATGATTTTCTTCATTAGTTCACTTCTTGTACTTGACTATTTGACAATTTTATTGTTCATTTGTGTTTAGTTTTGTTTCCTTCCTTTATGTTCCTTGTATTTGACATTGATTGTGGAATTATGTGTCTGATTTTGTGTGACTTCTTATGTTTGAGCATTAATACTAAAAGTGGTGTTGCCTCGTTTCTTGACTGTTAGTATAATATATGTGGAATTAATACTTCACCGTAGCGGCAATACCGCTACCCGCTACACCGCTATACCATTTTCGGGGTCGGCCGCTACTAGCCGCTAACTGCTACTGACAACTATGCAATTGTTGTTAACCTTTTACCCCAATGCTAGGCAGAACTTCTCCTATGATCTGGCTATCAAGAGAGGGGATTTTCTTTAGTTTGGGCTCTTCAAATCAGAGTAAAGTTAAGAGAAAAGGGGTTTAAAGAGAAGATGCCTTGGCCTAAGAAGGATGGAAAGAGAAGGGAACCAAAAGTATGATGAGGGCTGATTGATATATAAGCTTTGTTTGGAAAGGAGATATGTGTTAGTATGTGTTTCTAAAATTTGAAGTGTATAGAAATGGTGAGGTTGAGGAAGATGAAATGTCTTTAGAGTGGTGGGAGTAGTTTAATTTAACAACTATCCCTTTAATCTGAAAATTCTAATATTTATTTATTTATTATTATTAGTTTTTTTTTATAAAGATGGGTGATGGTACCTGCTGATGCGTAATTAAACTACAACCAACTAATCAACGTAACAGTAAAACAATTCACAATCAGATTATCAATTCTCTGAAATACCTCTGTATCACTTCTTATTAATCAAAATAAACGACAAGAGTCACTTTACAACTACTAACAAGACTCCAACCTTCCATACAATGAAGGGAAATACATTGAACGTAAAATAAGACTCAAGACTCTACGACAACTCAGACCCAGTATGCACTGCAATTACAGACTCCATAGAAGAGCAAAAACTGCAATACACAGAGATTATTACCGACCCCTTAAAGCACTAGTAACTAACGAAATTCTCTCCGGTACCTCTACAAACGAAACCTGTTTGCAGAAGAACCCACTCCTCTCTCTCCAATTTGCTGAATAAATTCTTCACCCCTTTTTTTTTGTTTTCACTCCCATTATAACTAACTCCCCATCACGTTCTTTTGCTCCCCAATTTCCTCTTGGCCATTCAGCAGCTGCCAGCTGTCCACTATGCTCTTGTGCATAACTAACTTCATCTCTTTGCTCGTTTTTTGAATTATCCCCTCCTCTTCTTTACTGATGTTACTTGGGCTTGGACCCAATATATCTTCTTGGCCGTTCTGAGACTCCACCGAAACCTTCTGATTCTCTATCCCTTTGCTGACTTGATCCTTATTGCCTTGTTGGGCTGAATTTGCTTTTGACTTCCTTCTTTTATAGCTCTGCATAAAAGGCTCTAGTGGCCCATCAATGGGTTTTACAATTTACATGTGTAATGTGATGCCAATGTGATCTATATTGTTCCTACTCTGGCAGTGCCCCCATTGAGGGTATATTACTGAAAGGAAGCACTCGTGTTTAAAGTGTTTTCTTGGGAGAGTTTAAAAGTGAGCTTGTTTGAAAAGTGAGTTAGTAAAGCTGAATTTTAGTGAGTTAAGATTATGATGCACTTTAAATTAAATTAAGGATTGTTACACCGTTGTTCACTTCAGGGACGTGTTTTTACCAAAGCCTTTCCCTGTCTGAAAATTGGATTTGGTTTTAAATAAAGTACACATAACATTAGTTATATGCAAAAACTGAAATGAAAGCTCCTTCTGGCTGAAGAACACAACTTTTTTTGTTACCACGATAGCATGGAGGTTTGAGCTTATGACCTCTTGGAAGCATTCTAAAAACCTCACCACTAGCCCACTCTTAGTTGCTTAGAACAAACTTCTATAGTTCTACATGTATGGAAGATTGTCCTCCTCAACGGACATCTAGTCCCCCTTTCTGGTGTCAAAATGATTCCCAAAGCTGTGGCTTTTTAAACGGTATATGCTTTTGTTTAATATATACTATTAGATTCTAAAATGTGGGTTTCCGTGGTGGTTTTTTGTTTTTGGTTTTAGCTGCAACTAGAAGAAGAAGAGAAGCTTGCGAAGCAGCAGGAAGACACACTTAAAGGGCATTACAAAAAGTTTAAGATGATAGAGGGTATTATGACTGATAGAACTGCCCATCGTTTGGCACGCAAGTATAATCTGTCTGTTGCAGATGATTGAAGGTTTGTGTTGACTAATAAGTTATGTAAATAACTTTTTTTCTGGTTAGGTTTAAGCTCTTTTGTTCCCCTCTGCTGCTATTGCTACTACTAATGAATTTCAATTCATACGTGGGATACAATATGCTTTTCGATCCATACCTAAGGTCTGTTTTATTTTGTTTTGTTCTGATTCATGAGTAGTGTGTTGGTGAAAATTTAAGTTCTTTTTTATTAGGTAATTTTCTTAAAGAATCATATTCTTGAATATAATGATTTATCATTTTATGGAAGGGAAAGATTGTTCTTACTATCATTTTAGCCTTACTACCTGATTGGTTATCGTTGGATCAATTTGAAATTAACGGTTAAAAAATGGAAAAAAATTAATTGTCGTCGATTTCAAATTGATCCAACGATAAACAATCAGGTAGTAAGACTAAAATGATAGTAAGTATAACTTTTCTTTTTATAAAATAAACTACCATTTTGATACTTGAAATATTAGGTTGATATCTCTTTGATTCTTGAAAGATAGGTAAAATCAATTTAGTCCCTGAAAGATGGAGTGTGACACCAATTTATCCCCTTAATCATGGGGGATGACATCATTTGTGTCACAAGGATGATTTTGATGTATTTGTTTTATCTTTCAAGGACTAAATCGATGTTTACATATTTAGAATTCAAAGTTATCTCAACTCGACGTTTTAGATATCAAACTAGATGTGTACGTATTTTGTTTTGTTTTTGCTGGCTTTCAGTGAGCATAAATTCAATTTAACCTAATTCGATTGGCCTGAGCAATGAAGACTGATTTTACGGGTTGATGTTTTAGCTCTTCATGGTAGCGTTTGGTAAACTTGTTAGAATGGGATGAAAAATGGTATATTTTCAAATCATAGCAGAACTGGGTTTAGGATTAAAAAATGGTATATTTTCGTCTACTAAAATGGTCGAACCAAGAGATTAGAATACAACTAAACCATTCAATAATGTTCTATATAACTAAACCATTCCATAATGTTCTATGTAGTTCAATTCACGCCTAGGTAAGATGCAATCTTGTTCTTGCTATGGATGGAAGTGGAGTCAGGTAAAAGTGTAGGATTATATTTATTTATATTGTGGCCAGAACTTTAATTTTATTCTTGCGATACTTCGAGCCTGTTTGGATCCTCTTATTTTTAAGCTAGAAGCTACTTATAAGCTAAAGTTAAAAATAAGAGCTTAAAAAAAGAAGCTAAAAGCTGTTTGGTAATTACATAAAAAATTTAGCTTAAAAATTACTTAAAAGCACATGTTTTAAGAAAATTATTTCTCTCTCTATTTTTATAACTCTTCATTTAAAAGAAAATCACACAATTCAAGAAAAACAGATAAGAGCTAAAAAAAAAGCTCCTCCTAGGAGCTTTTAGTTTTCAGTTTTTTTTTTCTTTATAAAAAAAGAGTTTTTCATAATAAGAGCTTTTTCCAAAACCTGTTTGGCCTAGCTTATGCTTATAAGTAGCTTTTAGCTTAAAAAAAAGAGGATCTAAACATGCACTTCAAAGGTAATGTTAGCACTTGCCAGCAATAAATTAAAAAATAAATTAAAAATGAAGGATTAGCTATTCAGTAGGGTCATGCATGTTGGGTGGTACGGTATAATGATATGCAATATTTGTTACTTTGTTAATAATGTGTTTGAAATAATTCTTTGGAAATTTAAAATCTTTAGTTAGATGATAATAGTTGTTTGGGTTGGCAGGGATTTGAGCTGCATAATGGGAAAATATTGAGTTGTTAAAAACAGATTGGAATTTGACTGATCAGATCATCTTTGGTCACTGATTGGTTGTAAGGACAATAAAGCCTAGTGATAAAATTTGTAGGTTGTGGATGTCATAGAAATCTTGAGCAGTGTTCAAGATTCTACCTCTTATGTTGAGTAGGAGGAGGGAGAAGAAAAGGATGGCGGTTAAGAATAAAATATTTGCAAGATTCTATGAAGTAAAATCATGAGAATAAGATAGAGAATACAAGCAATGAAATTTATATAATGAATGATACAAACGATGGAGTTCTTGGAGAGTAGTAAGAGGAAATTTAATTCCAGAAAATTTTGGATGAATTTGAGATTAGGGTGTCCATAATGATAGTGATGACCAGTAGGACAAATATACTTTTCTTATACACTAGGAACTTGCCATTAAACTTGCCATTCTCACCTATCATTTTTCAAGATTTTTATTGAGATTATGATATAATGGTATTAGAAAGTGGTAGAAAAAAATAGGCAGTAAAAAATATAGGTGGAATAACCTATATCTTAAAAATAAATCTCTAATATATTCACATCTTTCATATATATCACATATTAATATTAATTATCAATGGTTAATAATAAGAAAATATTAATAATAATTTCAAATTAGAAATTTCTATTTAACCCAGTTTTTTTGTGTGTGAAACTTTTAGACTAATGTTGTGATTTTGTCAATACCTATATCTTAAAAATAAATCTCTAATATATTCACAGCTTTCATATATATCACATATTAATATTAATTATCAATGGTTAATAATAAGAATATTAATAATAATTTCAAATTAGAAATTTCTACTTAACCCAGTTTTTGTGTGTGAAACTTTTAGACTAATGTTGTGATTTTGTCAATATCTATTTGTAATGATTTTATTAATATTTTCAATAATTTATTTTTGTCAATTGGGTCATAAAAAGAAAAGGAATGAATTAAATTTGAATACATTTTGAGAAAAAAGTGTTTGGTAAAATAAACAATAAACCAAAATGAATTAAACAAACTAAGATGAGTTTTGTTTGAATGAATTCTTCAATGAAAAGTAAATCGATCGGTTCCAATATAAAAAAGCCAGCTGATTTAGTTTGGATAACTTTATTCTTTTTTCTTTGGATAAATTAACCAAACCAAATCTAACGGAAATACTCGTCTCGGAAATACATGTAAAAGGTTTAGAAAAAAAAAAAATGGAATAGTTGAGTGTGATTCCATTGTTGGGGAGCACAACAAAAACTAAAACAGAAGCTATAGATGAAAACTTGTACATGCACCTTTTATCTAGGAAGATGGGCTTTTGGAGATATGTAGGGAGTAGGGTCATCAAAGAGGGACAGTGATTAAAATAATATATTTTTTAGATAAGTTATCTAAATTTCACGGTTTAATATTTTTTTACCAAAATATAACGTTTTAAGACTCGTTGAAATTACAATTTGTACATTTTTTTTATCAAAATGTCACGTTTTAAAAATATGCTTCAGCGGTCTAATTTCAGCGCATGTCAGATGAACACAGAACTCATCTGTTCAAAGGTCCGTTGTGGGTCCAGCAGATTCATTATCTCTTGTGAGTTGTGCCTAATAGTGGTTCTCCCCCATCGTATAACACGAAAATATTTTTGATATTACGTAGGTATATGCTTTACCAAATATAAAAAAAATATAACACATTAACTCCAACTTTTCTTTATGGTTATTTTTTCTTATATCTTTATTTTTTTCATTTTCGATAAAAAAAATACTTACTTTCATTATACCAAAGATATATCCGCATAACACGTAACACAATCTGGTTTGTTCATCCCGCATCCCTATTTAAACCTCTATTCCTTTACAAAGTATGATATCAAAGTGTTAGCTTTGCTTGAAACTCGGATTAGTGGTAATAAAGTCACGAGAAAAATTAAACCAATGAGGTTTGATGGCTACCATAAACAGGATCCTATAGGTTTCTCTGGAGGCCTTTGGCTATTGTGGAATAAATCTGATGTAGATATAGTGGTTCTTGAATCACAACATCAATTTATGCATGTTAGTCTTCGATGGAACCAGACATGAAAGGAAGTAAATATCACACTGATCTATGCTAGTCCTCGTAGAGTGGAGCGTAGAACTCTATGGACCAATGTTATCACTGGGTCACTGGTTCAATCGCACGACTCGGTAATTATATATAATTTTATAAACATACTGAAATATTTAAAAAAATGATTAAAATTTCAAATATTTTAATATAAAAAATAATAAATCACTTATTATTATCTAATAAAGGATCAAACAAAAATATAATGATCGTGATACGAGGCTTTAGGTTCAGAAAATGACATCCCTAACTATAAATCTAATCAAAATTTTTTGCATAGTGCATAATTGAGATAATATTAGTATTGTTAATATATAACTTATGTAAGTTAATAAGCAAAAAAAAATATTCAAATATGTCCATTATGATTTTTTTTTTTGAAAAAAAAAATTGGAATTTTTTTTGTGACCGGGTCGGGTCATCGGTTAACCGACCGGGTCACCGGTTTTCATAAAACTGGCCGGGTCGGACCGGGTCACACCGGTTCTGATGCATGGTCGGTTCGTTGCTTCAACCGAACCGGTTATATGACCAGTTTATCGGTTCCCAGGTCGACCCGGCCGGGTCAGTCCAGGTTTAATAACACTGCTATGGACTGATATTCATAGGATCAGTCAAGCGTGAGCTACACCATGGCTGCTTCTAGATGACTTTAATTCAATTATGCATGCTCATGAAAAAAAGGAGGGAATTCTCCCTGTCAAGGAAGTATCACAGATTTCACAAATTGCCTGAATACCTGTAACCTGGAGGATCTTGGGCACTCCGGTCCAGCTTTCACTTGGAGACGTGGAAACCTATTGGAGCGTTTAGACAGGGCTGTATCAAACATAAAAGGCCTGCTAACCTTCCCGCACAGAAACGTATTTCATCTTCCCTTCTTTAACTCTAACCATAGGCAATCCTAGTTAGAGATGGGGAGCTCTCTTCTAGAAGTGAAGGAAGGAAACCATTCATGTTTATTTCTTCTTGGCTAAATAGAGACGATTTCAAACTGATCGTTAAGGAAAGTTGGGAGGAAAATGTCAACTGGCTACAGGCAAGACAGAAGTTCGAGGAAGAAGCTTCCCTTTGGCATGGTTCAGTTTTTACGGACCACCTACAGAGGAAACACAAATTGCATGCCAGATTATTGGGGATAGAGAAAGTTCTTGGTGTCGCGGCCAACCACAACCTGGAAAGGCTAAAAGGGCAACTGTGGAATGAACTCCAAACCATCTATGCTCAAGAGGAGCTGAATTGGTTTCAACGGGCTCGAAGTAACTGGTTAGTCTATGGGGATGTGAACAACCGGTTTTACCATGC